GTGGACCATCTTTACATAATGCTGTGTAACGATCTCAAAGATAAACTGCTACATAAAAAGAGGTGGAAAAACGTATGTCTTTTATGATGCCAATGATTAAAGAAATTGGAAGGGGATACGAATGGATATCTATTTTTAAAAAGAATAGAAGGATAAACCAAAAAAAATTTTTTTTTAAAAAGGCTACTTATGGAAGGAAAGGGAAACACAGGGTGGATAGGTGAGTAATAGAAACCAGACTTCTCTGAATATTCCTTGGTTTGTAAATTTGACTTGGGAAATAAGCAACGTGTACTAGAGCTGGCTTGTACTGGCTCTTGGTAAATGTTCAGAATTTTGCGAGTCCATTGTCTTTACCTTGGTAGCTTGAAATTGGCTACGGTGGGAGTATTTACATCATAGATATTTGCAAACACATTTCTCTACCCTTCAGCCAGTTGTTAAACATTTATCAGCACACCACAGGGAACGTAAATATTTTAGGAAAGTATTAAACAAAATAAAATTTAAAAACAGCATTCCTAAAAATTGAAAGCAAAATGAAACAAATAAACCTAACAGCGAATTGAGTGGGTAGCACTACTACATTGCAATGAGCCGTTTCAAGTGGCTCTAAAGCACGGTAATTTGACTATATAGATCTACTGGTAACAACAAAAGACTGGCAAAAATAATCCGAAACTGTTTTCAGTATTGTGGTGTGAGAGTTGGTATTGTTATCCTGAGAAACTGTGAGTATTATGGAACACAGCAAATGGGTAACAACATAATTAGTGTGGGACTAAGAAGCTACAGATACAAGTCTGAGGTCATTAAGTAAACACCCTGTGGCCCTGGATGTGAACCGGATGTATCAGTATGAAGTTATGATGTCTTTCCTATTTAATTAACATTACCTGAATGAATTTCCTGGCGCTGTCCACTGAAAAAACCTGGAAACAATGACCCAACACCCCCAGGACCCAGACAGCCAGGTTGTGGTCTCTAACTTCTATTTCCCACAAAAGGAACCAAGACTCCCTGATTACAGATCTGGGTAAGGGAAAGTATAAAATACTGGAAGGAAAGAAGATATGAAAGACTACAGGGATCAAGTCAAAAGGACTCAGAGACAACATGAAAAGGTTCCTGCTGACCAAAGACAGGAGAAAACTGTAAGCAATAAGAAGCATAATAACTGTCATGGATTGAAACAAACGCAATATGGTTAAATCCATGAGTTTATGACCCTCAAACACCTCAGGGGATCACCTCTGGAGGATGCCAGGAAACAAGTTCACTGTTTTAAACGTTGGTAAAGGCATTTATCCTGCTTTTTCTATACAAACTGTACTTCAGGGTAACCAAATAGCTGATGAAGGAGTATTTTTCTTTATAGAAGTATTCAAGCTAATAAACAAAGGAGGAATGATAGAATTAGAATATCTAGGCAGGGGCTAAGCCAGAGGCGCAGTGGTTAAGTTCGCACCTTCCACTTCCGCGACCCAGGGTTTGCTGGTTCAGATCCCAGGTGCAGACACGGCACCGCTTGGCAAGCCATGCTGTGGTAGGCGTCCCACATATAAAGTAGAGGAAGACAGGCACAGATGTTAGCTGAGGGCCAGTCTTCCTCAACAAAAAGAGGAGGATTGGCAGCAGTTAGCTCAGGGCTAATCTTCCTCAAAAAAAAAAAAAAGAATATCTAGGTAATGATCATTACTTAGCAACATCACAAAAAGAGAGACAACCAGCAACGAAGGGCCTCCTGATTGAAATTCACCACACCACTGTCTATACTGTTATTGCTAAAAAATATTTGTGTGTTTCTTTGTGTGTGTGTGTGTGTGTATCTCAACCATGAATCAGATCAAACCTCTAGATCTAACTACTACCAATTTACAGGAAATATGGGGTACAGGTTTTAAGTGACAACAAAATCCAAACTGCAGAAAACTGTACAGAACAAATGACCCAGTTTTCCAACAAATAAACTGCAAGGGGAAAAAAGGGACATGGATAAGAAACCTACATGAACAGGGACATATCAATTAGGGGCAATTCATGAACCTAATTGGAACAAACAATCAATCAATAAAAATAAATATGACTATGTGCATATTTGTATACATGTATACTATATATGTGTGTGTATATCTATATGTTTGTGTGTAAATATGTCTACTTAGATATATGAATATGTGTGTGTGTATACACCCAATAAGATAACTGGGGAAATTTGAACATGGACTAAAGCATTTGATAATATTAAAAGAAATGGTTAATTTTTTAGGTAGGATGAAAATATTGATTTAAAGAAAAAGGCTGCCTTGTCTTCTGGAGAAATATACTGAAATATTTACAGGTGAATTGGTACAATATATGAGATTTGTTCAAAATACTGGGGGGTGGTAAATGGAAGAAGGATTGAGTGGCAGTGACTTGAGATTAGTTTAAGTTGGGTAGTAGACACCCAGGCAATCATTGTAACTATTCTCCCTACTTCCACAGATAAAACTAAAATTTTCTGTAATAAAGTTAAAAACTCTATGAACAAAAACAACAAAAAATTACATACTTAACATTAACAAGCTGGTAACAGAAGACTGACACCAGACGGAGACATTCCAACTTAAGGGTCCACTCACCATGATCACCTGAGGAGCTGTTTCAAAATACAGTCTCTGAATCACCAATATCTCAACGAACATCAAAGATTCAAGCAATTGTGTCTCATCCCTCAGAACGGTGGGAGCATGGAAAAAAGACTGAGAACCACTGTTTAAACACCATAAGGGTGGGGGCTGTACATTTTTCTCCCAGTTTTTATATCCATGCTTGACACATAAGAGGTACTCAACAAATACTTGGTGAATTAATGAATGATCTCAGGAAATGAAAATGAACAGGTGAGCTTAACAGCAGTTAAACGCTAGATGAGCAAAAAAATCATACATATTTGATATTTAAAAAATCACAGATTACTGAGTTTAAAAAGTGTGGCTTTCTGGCTTAAGTGGAATAGGTTTTCATCTTAAAGCCACAGATTAGTCACTTCAAACAGCTACAAGTAAACTTCCAGAATAAAAATAGTTTTAAATACACAATTGGGTGGGGTGTGGCTAGCAAATATTCTGATTCTACAATCTGTTTTGGACAACACAGTGCTTCTTATGTGACTAACAAAGCAAACAGCAGTCAGATTCTCTGTGCTGAAATAAGTACTCTATTTGCAAAAGGGGTTGAATGTCCAAGGTTTATTCAATAAAGACACCACATTTTCCAAAGTTAAAGAAGAATATAGAATAACAAATACCCACATATATTTACATATCCCAAAAAGAAGGCATACGACCACCTGGTATGGATTTTGTTTCTAGTAAGTATTAAATGGAGCCAAGACCATCGTCTCACCACGGGGAACAGCAAAACACCTCAAGCACAAGAATAATCTAATTTTAAAGCTGGGAAGAACTTAGAGACCTAGTCCAACCTCTTCATTGTGTTGATGAAAAAAAATGCGCCTAGAGAGGTTAAGGTGAAAAGCTCTGAAAATAGCTGGAGTAGCCACAGATGTCTACAGGAGCCACAAACGGTCTACCGACACAGGTGTACAGTATGAAGAGATGAGAATTAATCTTCTGAACTTTCACATGAATGATATCTAACGGTATCAGTCTCAACTGTAAATAAATGTGTGTAACCATATATATGCACAAAAATACTAGAATATGTACTTCTAATATCTCCTTTTAAAACAAATTCTACAGCCTAGCATTCAAGAGCATCCATAATGTTACCTGACCCACTGTTTCAAAGTCTTGTTCAAATGAACCATTAAGTAGATGGAAGGCAGCCATTTCTCTCACTTATCTTTGTGGCCTCTTACAGATGTAGTAGAGCACATATTATAATTACAGAAACTATTCTATAATTTCCCAGTGATGAAAGAATGACAAGAATATAAACTTCCCAATTCTCATGTTAATCTGAACGGATACAAAAGCCATATTTCACCTGTATCTATGAGTGTTATAAAGAGATATATAGGACATTGCAGATTTTTAAGTATGGCAAGTAAAAGCTTTAAAAGTGAGAGCTAAGAGAAAGAGAGGCAGTGAGATGTTACCCATTTACCTTTCTACAAGGTTCTATACAAGGCTTAATTTAAAATACATATACAAAATTGTATGCAGGGGAGGAAGAAGAAAAAAGTTAAAGAACAAACCTTTATTTCATCTACTCATCAAACATTTAATTATTTCAATTACTGATCAATCCTGAATCCATACGACTTTAATTCTGCAGATTAAAAAAATGATATATCTATGCCTGTTAGGGAATTTTTTCCTTCTCACTTACTTCGCTTGTACAACAATTGATTTGATTTAGCTCCAAATTGATGCAACCAAATAAGGTACAAAATTTGGCCTCTCAACTTCCTGTTTTTATTAGATTCTTTGGGATCTTGAAAACGATTCTAAGAATCTCCTAATATTGTCAAAGAGAACACTAACCATTAAAAATGACAATGATAATGTTTACTTTCATCTTTGGGAAAAAAAATGTTTCTAATTGGGCTGATTCAAGATTCTTCAAGGAAACTGCAAGGTAAACCAATGATATTTTTAAAAAGCTGAGAGCAAAGTTTGAAGAATTCTTTTTCTTCTGAAATGAACAAAGCAACCTTATTGAAATAGACATGATATGATATCATCAAGTTAAGGGTTTTTACAATCTCTACTGCAACTCTAAAGTAAAATCCAAAATTAAGCAATAAAACCTGAAGCCTTTTACTGAACATGGTATAGTGTTGTCAATAAAGAATCTAAATCTTTCTGAGTAATTACATTGCTAACTCTACTATCAAATTCATGGACATCTTGCTTCCAAAAAATTTAAAATATTTGATATGCAAAAATTTGAAATGTTTATATTTCAATAATAAAAAATATCATATTTATATAACATTTAAAATTTCTCTTAACTTCTTAGGACTTATACAAAAATCCTGAAATACAAGAGAGTATAACTACTTTTTCACCATTTTGTTTCCCCCAAGCCTAAAAATAAGTAAGAACTAGAGTAAGCTATTTTCATAAAAATTTAGGAACATTAATGAACACATTGACGGCTTTATGTAATAACTGGAGAATTTAGATGATGATTTAAATCCACTCCCCACCAAAGATTTCTTCTCCTAATTTTATATACTACCAAATATTTTCAAACAAATAACACAAGAATGTGCTTTTCAAAAATACAAAGGGGGTATTATCATTCCATCATAAACATTTGAGTAATAAGTTATAAATAAAATCACAGAAAAAGATGGTACCTGGTTATGACTATTAATATATATTTAAGACAAAGAGTTTATTTTTCAATAAGAAAACAAGGAAAAAGCCCAACATGATCTTGTATGCCTGCCCAACAGAACTTTCCACCATAATTAGTGCTTCCCACCTCTGGAGGGAGGGGCTTACATTCAGGGTAACCTCATGTAGTCAGGGGAACACAGTATAAATACTGCAGGACAGCTCTGTGGAAGGCATCTTCTGCACTGCTCACCTGGGCAGGAAGGCTCAGGAAGCTGTGAAGAAACCATCCCCAGGAACTCCTAGCCCCCAGGTAAGTCTATGACTTGACGCTCACTGGTGGACTTCCATGTTCGCTTATTTGGAAACAAGCTTCAATAAATTAACTATTTGCTTTTTGTGATTTAAAACGGTTGCTTTTCACTAATATGCACTCAGCAAGTTAAATTTGTATCAGCCTATATAAAAGATAGTCCTAACAAAAACTATATTTGTGAAAATATGCCCTAATCTGAATTTCACTGTATTTTGAAACTATTGGACATTTCAGTCCATGTCAAAGATTTGAATTATTTAATAGAGACATCCAATTATGGTTTCTGTTTCTTTTTTTAAAATTACTTCATTTTTACTTGCTTACTTTAATGTGGTTTCCAAAAACAACTAAGACATACATTCATGTAACTAAAAAGTTATAGCTGTTATTAATTTCTGGAATATATTAAAAACATAAATGATAAGGTAAAAAAAGTAGATAAATGCATAATGAATTCATCTGTGCAACATCAGACAAATAAAACAGGTCAATAACAAAGCTCTATGAAATGATTCTCTTCTGTTTTTTAGGATCCATCTGAGAACATGCTGCCACAAACAGCCCTTGTGCTGCTACTGACCTTGAACTTGGTTCATGGCGAGTTTTATGCTGAGAGGTATCAAACACCTACAGGCATAAAAGGGCCACCACCCAACATCAAGACCCGGTTCTTCATTCCCTATGCCATAAAGAGTAAAGGTAAACTGAACTGCTTATTCTGCTCTAGTAACTAGTTGGTTGACACTTTCTACAATCTTAATGATCTCTTTAATGAAATGCTTTTAACTGTTTGGTCTTAAATTATTTTAAAATTCCTGAATTAGCCCAAAATTTAACCACCAAATGATTTACGGAAAATGCAGGTCTAGTCAAGAACATTAACATCCTCTACACAACACATATAATATAACATATAATAGAAAAATACACTTGAATGTTAAGAACTTTGATGTGTAGAAATTTTTTCCCTCAAATGATGCTTTCACACATTTCTATAATCTAGAAATATTAATCCGATCAAAATTAATCAAGTTTAAAATGTTTTCACTAAAAATAATTGTGAATTGTGCAAAGAGAGGAGCAGGTTTAGATATCTAACTACTTCCGTATATTTACTTTCACAAACTATTCAGCTAGCCCACATATATATATATATAAAATCGTCCTAATTATCAATAAAATCTGGATGCCTTCCAAAGAAGTTTAATAGGCAAATGAAGTAGTAATTCTCATAGTTTTCATACAGACTTTACTGCCTCGTAGTATGTAAGTTATTTATCCTCTTGCGTTTTAGTTTCCTCATTTGTAAAACAAGGAGCAGCTGTCTCAAAGGAGCGCTAGGAAGCTTACGTGAGCTGGTATCCGTAAAACGCTTAAGCGCTGGCTATTACTACTGCTACTTCTACTTCGCCTCCGACTTCTATCACTTCTGCCTCCATTTCTCCTCCTCCTCCTCCTACTGTAGCAGTACTGGTGACGTACTACTTTTTAACTTTCTTCTTGAATCTGCTCCTCATTTGTTCACCTTTCTCCACGACTGTGAAGGGTACTGAGACAATGTTTGTAAAGTACTAACAGAGCCTCAAAGAAAGGCAACTTTCAGGTTTCATATTCGCTAATTCCATTTAATAGCATCTGACACAAACTGCCTGTTAAACATCTGAATTAAACTGAATGAATAATCTGAACTGACTGCAGGATTCAAGTTTCCTTTCCACAGTATTTTTTCAAATTATTTATTTTTTTCTGTAAATAAAGCTAAGGACAATTGCCATCAACTTGAAAAACTATGCTTTTGGAGACAACTGTTTTGACCAAATTAGATTATAGGATTGTCTTTTTAAGAAGATGAAATCTAAAATATTTCATGAAAGGGAACTTAATGTTTAAAAATAAACGCACAGGTACACAAGAGATATTTTTGACTGTCTCAAAATAGAAATAAAATATGAGAAAGAAAAGTTAGGAAAAAACGAATAAAAGACTACTTTACTTGAAGCAACAAATGCAATTTGAAATGCTATCACAAGCAGCACTGGGTTATACCCTCTATGATCACGAATTCAGAATTTCTGTAGCTTACCAAGATCATAAGAACAGTTATGAACTAAAAAGAAAATGCAGCACTTTTAGAAGGTGAAAAACTTTTCCATCTTCCCACCTTAATGTACTGCATCATCTCAGTTATTTTTACAAAATAAATAAAAACATATATCTTGTTAACAAATGAAGAGTTTGGAAGCTGTATTTTAACTATCAAATCCACCTTAGTCTCTAGTTGATAATACAAGGTGGAAACTCAAATACATTATTATCCACTGGCAGTCAAACGAAGACAAAACCCCACAATTTATACAAGTAAAACACTGAGCTGATAATAGAAATACAAAGAGGTCCTATGTAATTCCTACATATATCTGTTCAATACAGGCTAAAAAAGAGCTCAGCCAAAATACACTAAATTATCCTGCAAAGCATTCCACTGCTGGTGGGCATGAGAGTGCCATATTCTGATACAACCAACCGTTATTTCAGTTTGTGGGCATTTAAGAAACTTCTCTAGGACCTGGCCTGGTGGCACAGAGGTTAAGTTCACGTGTTCTGCTTCGGTGACCCGGGGTTTGCCGGTTCAGATCCAGGGTATGGACCTACGCACTACTTGCTAAGCCATGCTGTGGGAGACATCCCACGTATAAAGTAGAGGAAGATGGGCATGGATGTTAGCTCAGGGACAGGGCTCCTCAGCAAAAAAGAGGAGGATTGGCAGCAGATGTTAGCTCAGAGCTAATCTTCCCCCCAAAAACAAACAAAAAAAGAAACTTCTCTACTGGGTAATCCTTTTTCCTTGAAGATGGTGCCACCCTATCAAGCTACAAACAGGGGCTGTCCCCCAAGGATACAACAGAAGTCACATTCTTTCTTCCACTGAGAGGTGGAGGACCCATTAGGGCAACATTCCAAGTGACAGAGATCACTCGGTTGTTGGAGTTCTAGTCTCAAATGGTGCTCGATGCAGTTATTTTCAATAAGACTGTTTCCCCTACTTTAATAGTTAAACAGATTTCCAACCAGACTAAGACAATTATTTTTAGTATGGACATGATCTTTATAATAAGATTCTGAAGTGAATCCCAATTTAATAGTTTGCATTTTTAAAAATGTGCTAGTTTACTCCAAACCGTTAAGAAATCCTTTATTTATCCATCTGTTCTATTTGTAATGTATCAATACCCATTTATTCATACAGGTATATACGTACACTAAAGCCAACCAACAAGATATGTGTTAATATACAGAAATCTTTTCCACAAATTAATTTTTCTCACAGTCTTTTTCCTGATGTCATTTTCTGAAAATCCCTGGGTAAATAAAAGTCCACTCTTGTTTTATTCTCTGTAACTGAAGCTCTTACGGGATGCATCCTATGCTTTCCCACACTTGCGGCCCAACAGCACTTTTCAGGTCAGAGGCAGTGAGTAAGTGGTTTTGGAGTTTATTATATTAGTAGAAGTATTTAGCTCAAATGAATCTAGAGAGCTATGAAATCAACAATTTATTTGCATTAATCAAAGAATACTTTAGATAAGCACTTTAATACTATCTCACACATTAGGTCTAATTCTCTAATTCTTTGTTTCAATTTTAAGTCAATTATGGAGAACGTAAGAGCTCACAGTATGCACTAAGATTTAAAAAAAAAAAAATCAACCTAAATCTAAACTGTGTTTAGCAGAGCCACGGCTGATATAAATTATAATTAACTGTATTTCTCATTTATGCCTTATAGGATAGCTTTTGTAAGGGAAAACTGTTACAGTTCTCAAACATTTTCCCATTTATTCTGTACTTGTCTTTTTCTTCCTTTTCTGTCAAATGCCTTTTTTTAAAGTTTCCTTTCTAGGTAGATGATTTTCCCAAAATAAATGTGATAAACTTACCCCCACTGCACTCTTATTCTAGATGAATTCTTCAATCCCAACTTATTTTCATGGATCATTAAGATGTGATGAAAGTACTATGTTACCCATGGTCTTGTGAAACCATCTTCTCTAGCAGTATTTTTTAAAACAATATAAAATGTATTGTCTGAAACCATTTAAGACTGGTCTGCCAAAATGGATTGATTGACACTGCAATGTTCCATCCCAATTCATATTTTAAGAAGCAATAATTATCCTTGATATTATTAACCATCCCCTTCTCTGGGCATGTCTTTTAGGTGTATCAGTGAGAGGAGAACAAGGTGTTCCTGGTCCACCAGGCCCCAGTGGACCTCGAGGGCACCCAGGACCATCTGGACCACCAGGAAAACCAGGTTATGGAAGCCCTGGACCCCAAGGAGAGCCAGGGTTGCCAGGACCACCAGGACCATCAGCCACTGGGAAGCCAGGTGTGCCAGGACTCCCAGGAAAACAAGGGGAGAGAGGACCATATGGACCAAAAGGAGACATTGGACCAGCTGGTTTACCAGGACCACGGGGCCCACCCGGGCCACCTGGAATCCCCGGCCCGGCTGGAATTTCTGTTCCAGGAAAACCTGGACAACAGGGACCTACAGGAGCCCCAGGACCCAGAGGCCTTCCTGGAGAAAAGGGTGCACCAGGTGTCCCTGGTATGAACGGACAGAAAGGGGAAACGGGATATGGTGCTCCTGGTCGCCCAGGTGAGAGAGGCCTTCCAGGCCCACAGGGTCCCATGGGACCACCCGGCTCTCCTGGAGTGGGAAAAAGAGGTGAAAATGGGTTTCCAGGACAGCCAGGCACCAAAGGTGATCAGGGCATTCCGGGAGAAAGGGGACCAATTGGCCCACCAGGTCCCCAAGGTCCTCCTGGGGAACAAGGACCAGAAGGCATTGGAAAGCCAGGCGCCCCTGGAGCTCCAGGCCAGGCAGGGATTCCAGGAACAAAAGGACACCCTGGGGCTCCAGGAATAGCTGGGCCACCAGGGGCTCCTGGCTTTGGGAAACCAGGCTTGCCAGGCCTGAAGGGGCAAAGAGGACCTATTGGCCTTCCAGGAAGTCCAGGTGCCAAAGGGGAGCAAGGCCCAGCAGGTCATCCTGGGGAGCCAGGTCTGACTGGACCCCCTGGAAATATGGGACCCCAAGGACCAAAAGGCATCCCAGGCAACCATGGGATCCCAGGCCCTAAAGGTGAGACAGGGCCAGTGGGGCCTGCAGGACAGCCTGGGGCTAAGGGAGAAAGGGGTTTCTCTGGGTTAGATGGAAAACCAGGGTACCCAGGAGAACCAGGTCTCAATGGTCCTAAGGGTAACCCAGGGTTGCCAGGCCCAAAAGGTGAGCCTGGAATTGGAGGACCTCCTGGTCTCCCAGGCCCTGTGGGCCCAGTAGGAGCTAAGGGAGTGCCTGGAAACAATGGTGAGGCTGGTCCAAGAGGTGCCCCTGGAATACCAGGTACCAGAGGTCCCATTGGGCCACCAGGCATTCCAGGATTCCCTGGACCTAAAGGTGATCGAGGAACTCCAGGTCTTCCTGGTCCAGCTGGCATAGCAACTAAGGGACTCAATGGACCCACTGGGCCACCAGGGCCTCCAGGTCCAAAAGGCCATGCTGGAGAACCTGGCCTCCCAGGTCCCCCAGGCCCCCCAGGCCCCCCAGGCCAAGCAGTTGTGCCTGAGGGCTTTATAAAGGCAGGCCAAAGGCCTCTTGTTAGTGCCAACCAGGGTGTAACAGGAATGCCTGTGTCTGCTTTCACTGTTATTCTCTCCAAAGCTTACCCAGCAATAGGTGCTCCTATCCCCTTTGATAAGATTGTGTATAACAGGCAACAGCATTACGACCCAAGAACTGGAATCTTTACCTGCAGGATACCAGGAATATACTATTTCTCCTACCACGTGCATGCGAAAGGGACCCATGTTTGGGTGGGCCTGTATAAGAACGGCACCCCAGTAATGTACACCTATGATGAATATATCAAAGGCTACCTGGATCAGGCTTCAGGGAGTGCCGTCCTCGATCTCACAGAAAATGACCAGGTGTGGCTCCAGCTGCCCAATGCCGAGTCGAATGGCCTGTACTCCTCAGAGTACGTCCACTCCTCTTTCTCAGGATTCTTAGTGGCTCCCATGTGAGCCCGTTCCCACTGAGCTAATACAAATCTGCTCGAAAAGGCGCTTCCCAACCCACCCCGCCCCACAAAACGCATATGGAGGTAGGCTGAAAAAAAAGCGACTCATTTTAATTCTCCAAAATACAGATGTGAGCTTTCAGACCAACACAATTCCCCCTGAAAAAGTGAACAGCAATGTTAATTAAACAATACATGAAGATCCTCTCGATTTCTAGTCAGTAATCCTAGGACCCCTGAAAGTTTTCCGTGAACTTCTTCAGTATTTAAGTTTCACTATAAAAGTCCTGTTAGGCTAAAAAATAAAATGATCGGAAAAAAATTTGAAATATGACACTAAATTAGATTTCAGAAACTCAGCATTTCCTTGTAAAATAAGCCTGTTTTTAACCATTAACAGGAGACCTTCCAGGGAACATTCAGGAGGAATCATGTCTTTAGAGGACTTAAATACTTGAATATTGAAATTTAAAAGATACTGTATACCCTATGATATTTCTGATGGTGCATTACTCACAGGTTTACATGGCTCCCTTCATCAAGATCTATTCAAATATATAGGTGCAGACTGACTTTTTTCTAGCTCTTACAAAAAAACAAAATATGTTAAAATTAATCTGAAATGCAAAGTGCTTTAGTCGTGAACTTTTTCAAACTTTCCTGTGATTGCAGAAAAGTTTTCTATATACCCTTCACAACTTGGAAATAGACGTCTGACCTATTTTACTGATTTAACACAAGTACGATTACTTTGATTTAATTCCTTATTGAGTCTTATGTCATGTGACTTTGTGGGTTTACAGAATATTTGGGTATTTACCTTGTGCACCTCATTCCAGTGAATCATAACTAATGTCAAGGGTTTCAAAATCTGACTAGAAATGAAAAGACATTATTTATTTATGCTCTGTACTGTATTTTTATGTTGCTGTTTCAAACTTATAAGCTGTGCCTCATTTATTAATGCACGAAATGTGTTACCTACTCCTTATTTACAATGCAATAAAATAACATCAATAGATTTTTATGTTGAATTTATTTCACGGCAGCAATTTGCTATTCTCAACCATTCTTTTAAGGCTTTTCATTTTATAGGCTTCTTATAAGGCTTTTCAAGTTAATAAAGAGTAAAACAATAAAGTGGTGGGTGGGTTTCACAGTTATCATGGAGACACCCTTCTATTGGAGATGGGCATTCCTGCACACCCCAGCACTCAGTGTGGACCGTGAAAAGGCACCCAAAAAACCACACACCAGCTAATAGCCAGGGTGAAGGGTTGGTGACTGAGTATACAAAAGCGAGACACCCAAAAGCAGTAATTTTCTTCTGGGAAGGAAAGACGCAGGTGGCAGAGAAATATGCAATTTCAACAAATATTCTTCAGTTACTATTTATTGCCTTGACACGTTTTTAGTCATAATATTTAGGATTATTTTGATGGCTTAAATTACATTAAAAGGAAGGCAAGCAATTTTTATGTCAATCAAAAGGCAACATTTTTCTAAGCTGAAAACTACTGCTCCTGAGTATCCATCAGCCTACTGGTTGAATGAGGACAGCCTGGTTCAAGTCACTGGGGTGACATACTATAAAGCCATCTCTTTATTCCTTCCAGTTAACCACCATGTGACCCAGCAAACCTATGTATGGAACCATGAAACGCCAGGCTCAGGTTGGCGAGATCTCTGCCCCCATTCTGAGTCAGCCAGTCCTGTTTTTATGCAAGAACAATGGAATTTTCACTTTCCCCACCTATCTATAACTACTACACTAATGGTTACAGGTGTCACCAACCCTCATTCCCAAGCCAGGAAACAGCACAGCTGGAACTTCAATTGTGGGGGACCAACAGAACAACCCTATTGGCAGGCATGTAAAAGACAACGCAGCTCAGAATATTGGAATTTATGGCCACGAAACAGACACGAATAAAAGAACCTATTAAAATTAAGCAGTACCAACTTTATAGCAAAATTTAAGATCAAAGTAAATCCTAATTAAGAAACATAGCAAAATAGGTAACTTCTAAGTAATTTACTAGACACACAGCATTTAACAAACATCTCTTAGAAAGTCTCTGTTCACATTACTCACCCTTAAAAGCTGACACTTTATAATTGTGTTGTATAGCAGCAACTACATCCTTCCAAAAATCAAATGTTTTTTGACCATTGTTCTGCTAAAAAAAAAAAATTTCCAAATGTAACACACGCAGTAATTCTGTTCCTAAGCACAGCAGAAAATACCTGGCAAATAATGATGATATTACTGTATTGTAAAATAGAGACTGGTGTTTTAGAAAAGACAGTAGACTAATCAACTTCTCAGTCTTCTAAATGTGATTTTAAAAGAGAAATCTTCCATGAAAATCACTGGTACAGAGATGTATATATGAGACTAAATATTAATATAGCTCATATAGCCCAAACAAAATAAAAATTTCCACTCATTATAAAGTCTAAACATTACAGAATATTTTAAACACATGACTAAGTTTACAGTGTTAGAGCTTCTGCGATGTCAGAATGTGTTACCTCCTGTACTATGGCCTCATTGGGGTTAAGAAGCCTGAAGCCTTAAAGCCCCCAAAGCTGATTACTTTAGAATTCACCGCACGTTTACCTGGATTTCAATAAAAAAGAGCAGCAAGTGTCTAAAGGAGAGATGAATGAGGTTCCAAATCCAAAATGTAAATCATTTTTATTGACATATATTTTTTAACCAGAAAGCAAATAAACATTACACTAAAACACACAACCCTACAACCCTTTGCTTCCTTGGAAACATTAACCAGTGTCTATCTAAACAAACACCAACTTCTAGGTATCTGTATCCAATGACACAAACTCTGAAATATTTAAAGACTGATACATTTGCGTGTAGTCACCATGAAATGAGAAACTGACTTCATCGCATGTTAAGAACAACTTCCATAAACATACCAGAACTACTGCTCAACAGAAACTTTCACAAACACATGACTGTTAATTCTGATTCAAAAATAAACCATTACCTATGTTCCATTGTAAACACAATCATTGTAATTTTAAGACAACATATGCAAAAATGAAAGCGATTCTGAAATGAAACTGGTTTATGTTCACAGGTCTTAAGTTTTCAGTATAAACTGATATAACCAGAGATCCTTTTAGTCTTGATACACACACAGCACAAAGAAAAAGTTATATGTATTAAATTATGCTCAAAATGGTGAATAAAAGTTTCATCTCAGTTTTCTGCTTTTACATTATTTAGAATGCTTAAAGACACCAGGAATTTTCCTAATTACCTTCACTTTTTTTTATTCTGCTAATGAAACCAAAGAAAATGTTTTTTTTGAGGAAGATTGGCCCTGAGCTAAGATCTGTTGCCAATCTTCCTCTTTTCTTTTCCTCCCCAAAGCCCCAGTACATTGTTATATATGCTAGTTCTAAGTGCTTCTACGTGGGATGCTGTCACAGCATGGCCCGAGAACTGGTGTGCAGATCCATGCCCAGGATCCAAATCGGTGAACCCTGGGCCGCCAAAGCAGAGCACACAAACTCAATCACTACACCACCAGGTCGGCCCTGCCAAAAATATTTTTTCCAAATGCAACTCCATATTTTCTTTTTCTAGACTTTTGCACCCCCTGTTGGAGAACAGGTTTACTGTGCTTGGGGGAAAAAATGGTCACTGCTATTTAACTTTCCAAAAATATTTTGACCCAATTCTCTACATTTTTCTTCCTGTCACCTCTGAAACAACAAAGAAGAAATAGAGTAAAATCTCAATTCAAAAGAAATCCTCTGATTTGTGATTAAACACATATCTTAGTTTCTAAAAAATGAGTCCCCACTTACCTTTGTTAAAGAGTCCACCACTCTGGCACATAGAAGAGCTCCTGGCAAGTCAAAGTAGTTATCGTAAAAATAATATTTTCCTAAAAAAGAAGAAAATTTGAAACTGAAAACAATTAATGCCTCATTTATGTGATATATACAGAATCTTGGCTGAAGAGAGGCTAGATTTTGGTTTAGTTACTTAAAGAAGTCTCTATTTCAACTCAAAATGGCTCTATTACAGGCTACCATTGTCTTTTAAAGAAGGTTTAAGTTACAAGGGTACTACAAGAAAGTGAAAACATGACACCCCTAAGTTAAGCATTTATGTAAAAATATTTTTTTTAAATGTAGAAACTAAAAGCGGCTTATACCCCAAATATAAAATGGATTTCAAAAAAGCCACAATTTATGTTACTAATGTCACTGAATTTGAAAACAATCAACCTAACACCGAGTAGCATGAAGCGTTCCACACAATAGTGCTTTCTCCTATCCGTGCAGGTTGGTCCACGAGGAGTATTGCATTCAATTTTTATGCAATTTCAGACAAATTTCAGTACGATGTGAGAACTACCAGGGAGATGAGAGGAATAAAAAAACCACACTATGTGAGGACACGCTGTGCTTATCTTAGAGAAACTCAGGAGCACAGGACAGGTACACTCCAGGATCTCGGGGGGAAGGGATTTGACTTATCCTGATGGCCCTAGGGTAGAATTAAACTAGAGCCCTCCTGTGAATCTTCTGTGCCTGGGCAGACACTTTCGATGGCCCACGTCACATCTCCTTGAACCACATCTCATTCCAGCCACCGCTGTGCTGAACAACATCATCCCACCTCAAGCACAACTGTGCCACTCGCTCTCTCTGGAAGCCTCTGGAGCCCATGAGGCCCACGTGGCAACTTCAACCAACAGGATCAGAAGCCAGTGAACGAATGCCCCAGCCTCCTGTCCCCTGGAATGATGACTCTGGGAGGTATTCCCTGCTCTTCTCCTCAGAAGTCCCAGTGGAATCCCGCCCCCACTGTTCCTTCCTTCCACGTCACTCTCTCTACCACCTCACCCTCGCTTACTGGGATCAGGAGTAGCCACTCTGCTCCGGAGGAAACACAACCTCATAGAGTCTTCTAGAGAACTCAGTACAAAGAGGAATCAAACAGAACCAATACTGAGCCAGACTTTAGTTTAATACAAAAATACATTTCAAATAGTCATAATTCCTCTTGCACACAGTATTACCCTGCCTGATTTTGAGTTCTCCTGCCTTCCATTTGTAAGCTGTGTATGAGGTCATGGAACACAGCTGTCTGTTCCCTCCACAAAGCACAACATCCAGCATACTATAGGCACTCAATGAATGTTTGTTGAATGAATGAGTGATCTAGTAACAGAATGGATTTATTTTGGAATGAAGGAGTGTCACAGACAAATTAGGAGAATTCTCTGCAGGGGCCAAATGTCCATCCCTTTAAATGTCATTTAATGTCCCTCTTCTTCATGTCAAACTATTATGAACGTATAAAAAGTAAAGTCAAAGTTCTCCATCTGTTAATTCACAAAATGCTACATGGCTTTGTGTGTCCTTTTCCTCGGTTAAAAATATTTTGGTTGGCATAGTCTTCCTGTTTTTCACAGCTGAAATTGTTGGGGGAACATATCAGACTATTTTTCATCCCTTAGAAAGGTTAGGATGGCTTGTCATTGTGAGGAACAAGGATGTGGAGGAAAAGGGAGGGGACATCCCACGTACACTTCTGCCCACGCTCTGCTGGGCTCTAAGACCATACAATGCTCCAGGGCTCCCAGGACAGGGGGCACAGCTTCCCAAGGTTCATTAACATGAACTCTATCTTATCTCTTGGTCTGTGACACCAGTGACCTGCCTGAACCTGATGACCAGCCCTCCTGGGTGCTGCGGGAGGAGATCTCTCTTCATTGCCAGTTATATACCCCTGCTTTTTCCCTCCTCTTTCTCTCTGTTTTGGGGCATTAACAGATGAAACTCAGTTTAAGACTTGAAATATTGATTATGAAACTTGGTTGGGGTCTAATCAAATAACTCAGGGGTTTAATGAAAAGGGCTCATTGACTCCCACCCACAAGGCGAGCGGTTGATGTAACCTGACCATCAAACATGGGCTGAATGACCTCTGTGTGGACACAATGAGGCTTACTCAGCCTTGATCTGTTAACT